GCTGCAGGAAGGGCACATTGCAAGGGCTGCATCACCCAGGGCTAACAGACCCAAGTCACCAGCCAAACCTTGAAGTCTCTTGGTCCCCATGCTGACTAACCCATCAGGCCTGGAACAGCAGGCAGGACTGCTGTTGGGAAGGCTCTTGCTCTTCTGGTTGCTACCGGAGAAGATTTAAGGAGACAAATGTCTGTCAGAGAATGCCCTTGCTTTCTACAACGTAAGAGCCCTCTTGGTCCACCTCAGTGTGGGGAGGGTTGGACCCGGGTAACGGGAGGGACGAACACCTGCAAAACAGGCAGCTCCTTGCCTCGCTAAATTGAGGAAAGGCCACATGGATGTGATTTAATTGCTTATATACAGGTGTCTCATGCCATTTTAGATGCTTCTGGTCTCCATCTGCCAGTGGAGAAGGGCATACAGAGCTTCCATACAACCTGTCTTCTATTTGTTCGGCTTGTGTGGGCTTCCCAGCTGTCCTTAAGCCCCTCAGGGAACTCCAGACACCTGTGTGTGGTCATCTGTTCCCTTGAATTTTGCCAGCTGAATCACATCCACTGACCAGATCTTCTCTGCCCATGGTAGGATTTCTTGGCTCACGTGGAGACACCCATGTATGGACACACAGTGGGTTTTAATCCCTGGCTGACTCCCAACCTTAATGCCTTTATTCATGAAGAAAAGTGTTTTCTCTCAGACACCCAACCTCCTCATTGCTGCAACTTAATCTCCTTTGCTCCAGTACAGACATTCTCCTTTCCCATTCTCTGTCTTCTTCTCCTTGAAGTCCATGTACCATGTGGATGATAGTAATGTTTGTAGAAGCCAAATCCCAAAATAAAACCACCCTCTTGGTTCTCAAAGTAGCTCAATAACTGTGATTCTTCCTGAGGCAACACTGCAAAAGGAGAGACCTCTCAGGTGGGGCCAATACCTGGTGAAGTTTCCCTTGTGACAGATAGAAGGACCACAGGAGCATTGATCTCTGATGCTGGTGTTACAGTATGGCAATCAGACACCACATATGAAGTTCATGAATTTTGACTAGACAGGAAAATCAGTGCCCCAAGCGAAAAAGAACCCAAAACCCAATCAAGCTCCAGCAAAGGAGATGTTTCTTCTGCCTGTGACACAGTAAATGGTTAAACCCAACATGTTTGAGGCGCATTCTCCTGATCCCAAAAGGAAAGAACATCTTCAGCCCCCAATCTGATGTGAGGTCTGACCCCATGCCTGGCCCTGACCTTCTTTAAAACAACCAAAATCTGCAAAACAGGCAGTTAGAGAGAGAGAACTACCCACAAATATGCTGAACCACTGGTTATCTAGCACCAGCTCTCCCAGTCCCTCTCACACTCAGCTGGTGGGCAGCATTTGATCCCAGCAGCAGCAGCCCTCCAGCTCATGGAGATTCTTCTGCATTTACATTCTACAGCCAGAAGAATCATACATCAACACCACATCATCTTCACCTGCTTTACTCCTACATGTGCTCACCCCGTGCAGCTTTCTCCAGGCTCTGTGGAGCAGGTGTTTCAAGAGCTGCATGGGAAGAGATCAGAACAAGAAATGTATGCCCAGATTTTTTTCCTAAGTGCCTGGAAACCTTCCCTAGCAGGAGAGCTGAGGTGCAGGCAGGAAGGGAAGGGAGGGAAGATGGGCTGGAGAAGAAACAAACAAGCTTTAAACCAAGGCGTAGGGAGAGCAAATCAGTGCTTATGGTTCCTATCAAATCTTGAAGTGCTGCACAGTGGAAATGAATGACATACAGGGGGACCTGCTCTGGCAGAGGGGTTGGACTAGGTGATCTCCAGAGGTCCCTTCCAACCTTATATCATTCTGTGATTCTGTGATAATGCTGTGACAACAGCTTGCAATTCATCTTAAAGGCCAGGTAGACCAGGTGCCCTCACTGTACACTGGCTGTGCCACTGGCCACCTATTCCTACTGGGGTTATGGACCCTGGCTCTGGCCAGCAGAGTTGATATGGACATCTTTTCAGTCATGTTAACACGCTCTCTGCATGCCCACGCTTTGCCCTGGGACTTGTTCTCTATTTTTATGTTGCCAGTGGAGCTGGTACCCCGTGGCATTACACCGGGAATGATGAACCATCTGAAGACCCAGGGGTTGGATCAGCCAAACAGGGGTTGGCTCCAGTTGATGCTCTTTCATGCACAGTGCTTGTTTGTGCTGATCGCTGCAGTTAAGTTCCTCTGGATTTAAACACATACCATACAGCCTGGCAGAAGTCTACAGACACTCGTTCCCATGGACAATCATGGACAACCAGACCCAGGCCCTGCCCAGCCCCAGCACACCCAGGCATCCCTTGGTACCTAGAGACCGCCATGGGGACCAGAAGGATTCAGTGATGGAAACTGAGACAAAACTCAAGGACAGGCATCCAACCAGCCCTTCTTCTCTGCCAGGTCCTTGTTAAAAGAAGTATTTCTGGCCAGGGGAGAACCCTCTTTGGGGTTTGTCAGTGGACAAACTCATTGCCATGAGCTGGCAATGTGAGCTGGCAGCCCAGAAAGACAACTGCATCCTGGGCTGCATCCCCAGAATTGTGGCCAGCAGGGTGAGGCAAGTGATTCTACCCCTCTACTCTGTTCTGGTGAGACCCCACCTGGAGCACTGTGTCCAGCTCTGGAGTCCTCAGCACAGGAAAGACATGGATGTTAGGAACAGGTCCAGCAAAGGGTCATAAAGATGATCAGAGGGCTAGAGCACCTCTGCTGTGAGGACAGGCTGAGAGAGTTGGGGTTGTTCAGCCTGGAGAAGAGAAGGCTCCAGGGAGACCTTAGGCCCCCTTTCAGTACCTTAAGAGGACTACAGGAGGGAATGGGAAGGGACTCTTTAACAGGGAGTGTAGTGATAAGACAAGGTAACAGTTTTTAACTGGAAGAGGGGAGATTTAGATGAGATGCTGGGAAGAAATTCTTTGCTGTGAGGGTGAATGAGGAACTGGCCCACATTGCCCAGAGCAGCTGTGGATGCCCCATCCCTGGAGGTGTTCAAGGCCCAATTGGATGGGGCTTTGAGCAACCTGGTCTGCTGGGAGGTGTCCATGGCAGGGGTGTTAGAACTGGATGAACTTCAAGGTTCCTTCCAACTCTAACCATTCTATGATATAGAGACGTCATCCCTCATGCTTGCTGCTACCATCTGCTTGGCCTCTTCTTGTTCTGTAATTCATTGTCTGAGGTTCGACACCTTAAAAATGCAAGCTGAGCAGCAGGGCACACATTTCCAAATGTCAGTGGTCTGAGAGCCAGGACCTCAAGATGACAACTTTGGGTTAAACGTCTGACCTCACTTAAGGGGAGATTAATACTGCTGAAAGCACAGAGGATTTATGGAAGAGCTGCATGTCTGCGTGAACTTGGATGGGGACAGAGATATGCAGGAAGCACAACCTTGTTGCTATTTCCCTTCCAAACCCACTGCAAGCCTAAAGCCCAGCTCAGCATTGCAGGTGGTTGGGCAAAGAATGTACCCAGCTGCAGGCCCTTGAGAGCTGGAAAGGTCCTCAGAGCAGAAGAGAGCAAGGTGATACACTGAAATATAGGTTTCCAGCCCCTTGGTGGCTTCAGGGTTTTTTTCTCCAATGCCAATGTAAAAAACAAAAACCAAACCAAACCCAACATGGTTGGTGATGGCATTCAAGACTCTGCCTTCCCACGGAGCTTTCAGTTAACAAAGGTAAGCTGGAAATGGTGCCCTTTTCCCAACAGCATGCCTCAGTTGCAAGAAAACTTTGCTGATTAGAAATGGGGTGGGTTTGGATCACTCTTCAGAAGGGCTGACATCCCCCACACTGCATCCTCTAGTCACCTCAAACCTATTTTAAGGTGTTATCACTCAGGGTGAGTGATGAGACCCAGTAGGCTGATGAAGAGCTCCTGAGCCGAGAAGTTCAGGCTCAAGCTGGTATCTCTGTGAGACAGTTTCTACCAGCACTTTGCACCGTGGTCCACTTTATTTGTGCGCATCCATAGGAAATGTCACTGGAGGGTGATGGTGACACTTTTGTTGGTGTTTGTTTGTTCTGGCACCTGCAGGTTGGCTGTGGACAGCCTGCCTCCTGCAAGGGTGGGTGCTGTAGGTGCTGGGGCCTTACTGGTAGTGGAACTTCCCGTGGGAAGCAAATGATGGTTTACATGTAAGGTGACCCCACAAGCCAGCACTGCAGCAAATACTTTTTATTGTCTGCTACTCAGGAACTAAATTGCATGGCATACATTGACCTTTCACACCCATGGAAGATCTTTCACAGAATGGGTTACACAGAAATGTGCAGAACAGGTTCAGAAGTAGAGCAGAGAATGAAAGCCAGCCAGTGTATCACAGCAATTTACCTTTGAGTGGTCAGAGCCTGCTGTATATCTGATGCCTGAGCCCGGCTCTCTGATACCTCAGCTCCTGCTCTCATGGTGCACGGTCCAAAAGCAAGCAAGCAAAGACAAGCTAATAAATTGATAGAAGCACGGCCAGCTCGTAAGTTCAGGGACAGGGAGCCTAGTGACTGATGTAGGTTATTTCCTTCCTTCTCCTTGCTTTACCTATCTACAGAGTTCAGGAGAGCTGGGATGTTCCTCCTGTGCTTGGTTGTCTTCCCCTTCTCCCCTTCCTCTCTCCCTTTATCCTTTGCTGTGGTCGCTGGCTGTGTTGGTCAGCAAGCATTTATAGGATAGTGCTACCAGGCTCTCAGCAATCCTTGGGCTCTTTGCTTTCATGGTCCCTGGATAAATCACAGAGTCACCAAATTGCTGAGGTTGGGAAGGATCTCAGCAGTTGGGAGGGACCTCGTTCTCAGTTTAGGAGGAACTTCTTTCCCATGAGAGTGGTAGAGCACTGGCACAGGCTGTCCAGAGAGGCAGTGGAGTGTCCCTCTCTGGAGACATTCAAAATCCACCTGGACAAGTTCCTGTGCAACGTGCTGTAGGTAGACCTGCTCTGGTGAGGGGGTTGGACTAGATGATCTCCAGAGGCTGCATGGGAGATGTGGTGATGCTGCTAGTGGTGAAGGGTCACAAGCCTTTTACACCCGGCATGTGAAGTGGGGCTTATTAGCGGGGACAGTCGCTGTGAAACAGAGACACCTTGCCCTCCCCATAGAGCTCCGTTAACCTGTCCTCCAGGTCCCCCAGCGTGAGGAGCTGGACTGCATTCTTGTCATTCTCTGCAATGACCGCCCAAGCCTTCATCTGTTTTTTGCCCATCTCACAGCAAGCACTGGACCAGATGTAGCTGGGTACATTAACCCTCCCACTAGCAATATAGTTGTTTCCAGGCACAGTGCCCACGACAACGTAGGTGGTGGTACAGCCCTTGGTCTTATTGGTCATCGTGGTCTCCACATAATTCTTCCAGGCGCCTACATTGAGTTTTGCATTCTGTGGGACTATGTTGGTGAGGGTGAAGGTAGCCTCCCTGCTCATGTCATCGGGTTGATGGACACTGGGGTTCAAACGGCAACTGTGCAAACCCTTCAGATTCCTGTAGTCTTGGGAGATAGCCTGGCTGTTCTTGATTTCTTCTAAGGTAACGTTGAATGTGCTCATGAGGTCATCCTCTTTCATCATTGTTTTGGAATAATTTGAACCAATCAACTTGAGAGGTAAAGAAGAGAAAAAGGTGTTAGTATTGGGGATGGGAGTAAGGGAACAGGTTTCCCTGCAGCAGAAGTCATCTTTTTGTCATCTCAGTGTACAAAATTGCACGAAGTAGAGAGAAATCATAAAACTGCTCCTCCTCAATGAACACAAGAGATTAAAAAAACAAACAAACAAAAAACCTGAGAATCTGACTGTTCCCGATTTGACTTGTGACCTTTGAAAACCAGCCTGCAGCCCGGGGTGGACGCATGAGACAAGGAGCATTTTCCACACTCAGGGTTGAAAGGTGACTTTGGTGAGACACCTCTCCTGCCACAGCTGGTTCCCTTTCCTCCCTTCTCCACATCCCACATCTGCCCAGACCTCTCCCCAGTTCCTCCCAGCCCCAGTAAGCACATCCAACCTCCATCACCTGCATCAAATCACGCTCTCCTCAGCCCTGGCCTTTGCTCTCTTCAGCCCCATTTCCACAAGAGCTCTCTCAGTCTCCACGACAGGTTGTTTTTTTTTTTGCCTTTTTTTATCCAATCTGTCAATACCCTGGTGTTTTACAAACTTACAGAAAACAAGCACACAGATATCCTCTTTGATGTTTGGGTGTCTTATGGGATCCTTGAAGATGGACAGGATGGAGGATGGGATGAGGATGAGCAGAAGAGCCATGCAGCCCTACCAGGGGGAGATGAGGAGGACTCAGACCCTTCAGCTCTTCTCCTGCTTTGGCCCTCACTCAGGAAGAAGTATATATGGTTGCTGCAGGTGTATCACACTCCTGAAACACCAGTGTTTGCCTTCCTGGCAACGTTCTTTTAAGTTCAATGTGGATAAATGGGCACTGTTAGGATATGACTCATCTCATCCTCCTGCTGATGCCTCAAACACATCAGAGGAATCTGATGATGAAGGTGTTTGAAGTTAGATGAGACAAATCTGGGAAACTATAGGCCTGTCAGCCTGACCTCGGTACCGGGAAAGACCATGGAGAGGATCGTCTTGGGAGAGCTCTCACAACAAGTGCAGGGCAGGCAAGGGATCAGGGCCACCCAGCATGGGTTTATGAAAGGGAGGTCCTGCTTAACCAACTTGATCTTTTTCTATGACCTTATGACCTGCTTTCTAGAGGAGGGGAAGGCTGTGGACATTGTCTACCTGGACTTTGGTAAGGCCTTTGACACTGTCCCCCACGGCGTTCTCCTGGAGAAACTGGCAAATCATGGCATAAACAAGCGTACCCTTCACTGGATAAAAAACTGGCTGGATGGCTGTGCCCAAATGTTGTGATTAATGGGGTGAAATCCAGTTGGCGACCGGTCACCAATGGTGTCCGCAGGGCTCAGTTTTGGGGCCTGTCTTGTTTAATATCTTTATTGATGATCTAGATAAGGGGATGGAGTGCACCCTCAGTAAGTTTGCAGATGACACCAAACTAGGTGGGAGTGTTGATCTGCTTGAGGGTCGGAAGGCTCTACAGAGGGACCTGGACAGACTGGATCAATGGTCCAAGGCCAATGGGATGAGGTTCAATAAGGCCAAATGCCGGGTCCTGCATTTTGGTTACAGCAACCCCGGGCAGTACTACAGGCTGGGGGCAGAGTGGCTGGAAAGCTGCCTGGCAGAAAAGGACCTGGGAGTGTTAGTGGACTGCCAGCTGAACATGAGCCAGCAGTGTGCCCAGGTGGCCAAGAAGGCCAACAGCATCCTGGCCTGTATCAGGAATAGCGTGGCCAGCAGGAGTAGGGCAGTGATGGTGCCTCTGTACTCGGCACTGGTGAGGCCTCACCTCGAGTGCTGTGTTCAGTTTTGGGCCCCTCACTACAGGAAAGACATTGAAGTGCTGGAGCGTGTCCAGAGGAGAGCCACCAAGCTGGTGAGGGGTCTGGAGAACAAGTCCTACGAGGAGAGATTGAAGGAACTGGGCATGTCTAGTTTGGAGAAGAGGAGGCTGAGGGGAGACCTCATTGCTCTCTACAACTCCCTGAAAGGAGGGTGTAGAGAGGTGGGGGTTGGCCTCTTCTCCAGGGGAATAATGACAGGGCCAGAGGAAATGGTCTGAAGTTGGGGCAGGGGAGGTTTAGATTAGATATGAGGAAGAATTACTGTACTGAGAGGGTAGTCAGGCACTGGAACAGCCTGCCCAGGGAGGTGGTGGAGTCACCATCCCTGGAGGTATTCAAGAAACGTGTAGATGTGGCTCTTCAGGGCATGCTCTAGTGCCTGAGATTATTGGTTTGTGGGTGGGTGTGATGTGGTGGGGTGTTTTGTGTTTTTTTGTTTGTTTGTTTGGGGGGGGGTTGTAGGTTTTGGTTTGTGTTGGACTCGATGATCTCAGAGGTCCATTCCAACCATGGTGATTCTGTGAAATCCCATCCAGTGGGTTCATTTGCACTGTGTGGGGGTGGGAGGAAAAAGTAGTGTTTGGTTAAAGGCTGCAGTTCACCTTTTAATGACTGGAGGGTGATGTGCTGTAAGAGAGGACACTCACCTGGGGCTCAATCATCCAGATGTGAGGTCTCGGGCCCTTTCTAGGCTTATAGGTGTAAGCAGAGTATACGGGAATACGCAGGTCTCTGTTGTACAGGGTGGCAAAGTGATACTCATTGTTGTAGAGCTGGCAGATCCAGGCTGGGTTGTTCGGCTTCAGAACATCATTTGGGGGTGTTTCCCGGAAGAAAAAACGAAGGCAACTTTGAAAGGATGTCACCACCTCGCTGCGTCCCAGCCAGAGGCAGCTCGCCAAGACCTGCAGAAGCAGCAGCAACAGCATCGTGGGGAGGATTCCAAGTGAAGGGCTCTTTCTCACCTGGAGGGAAAATGCAGAGAGACACTCAGCTTGGAGGAAGCCCATCATGGCCTGGAGTCGTTTTTGTGCTTGTGGGACAAGATTGGCTGAGGAGGGGACAATGAGAGATCAAGGAAGGGACAACTTCAGTCCTCCTGGATGTGGATAAATCAATAGGAAATAAAGGTGAAATGTAACATAGGTCTGAATGCCTAGAGAAGCAATGGGAGAAGTCAACCCCTCTGAGGAGTGATCCAAACCACATCTAATCAGCTCACACAGCAAAGTTTTCTTGCAACTGAGGCATCCTGTTGGAAAAGGGCCACCATCTCCAGCTTACCTGGAAGTGAATGCAAGCACCAAAAGCATTGGTTTTGGTTTGGGTTTTTTGTTGTTTTTTTTTTTTGCCTTGGCACTGGAGAAAAAAACCTGAAGGCACACAGGGACTGGAACCCCCTATTTCAGTGTATCATCTTGCCCCTTTCTGCTCTGAGGACCTTTCCACAGCAGAGATTTGGAAACTAACATGCATATTTGCCCTTTTCTTATTCGTTTCCCTGACCCTCATTTGTTAATTCCCATTGGATTCAGGATATTGAGCTAGACATGCCCTTGCTCAGACCCAAGACACCTGGTCCTTTAGGTCTTTAGTAATGCTGGAGCTGGAATATGGAGACCTGTAAGCTGAAAACTGAGAAGGGTGAATCACAAGAAGCAACTTATTCCAGTACTCTCCAGAGCGTGAGACAATCTGCCCCAGCTCAGGCAGAAAAGTTACTGAAAGGTTCTTCTTTTGTACCACCCCCTCCACAAGCTGAAAATGTAGCTAACTTAATATCAGATATATAGAAACCAACCTACCGTGTGAAAGAGCAGCACACAAGTAGAATTTCTATGCACAGGACTCTGCTGGCAGCCCCAAAGTGGTAGAGGAGTTTCAAACACCTCTGCTACAGCCTGAAGCTGGCTGTGACCCTGGAAGGTTTATATGTGATCTCCAGGAAGGCAGAATTGTGTAATTCTGCTTTGTTACATTTCTCAAATGGGGTTTAGGGGAAGTTTGTGCAGGGGTGGAACCAGGACCAGTGGTTTTCCAGAGGCCTTTTGCAAGGTATTTCCTTGTGCATTTGTTCCCAAGGCTTCCCATACTTATTGTTTCCCCAAAGGATCCTTGGAGAGGTCCAACATTTACCGGGGCAGCAGGTGAGCGGCAGAAATACTGCCACCACTTCAGATCATCCCACCAGGCTTTGTGACTTCTCCAGATGGGTGACACATTGCCAGAGCTGCCGAGGGCTCCAGATCTAATGGGATCTGGGAGATCAGCTTCTGGGACTGCCAGTTCGAAGTGGGGTAGTTTATTCCCTTTTGGGAATACTATTTCTATTGTGAAGTTTTCATCTTAGCACCACCAAAAGTGACTTTTTTTCCCTGAGCACACCTGATTTTATTTTTTCAAAGAGCAGATAATAGCTGGTGTAGTGACAATTTCCCAGCTTCTTCCATTCTCTTCTGCCTCTAATTTTCTCTCTAATACAGGTTTTGGTTTGTGTTGGACTCGATGATCTCAGAGGTCCATTCCAACCATGGTGATTCTGTGATATCCCATCCAGTGGGTTCATTTGCACTGTGTGGGGGTGGGAGGAAAAAGTAGTGTTTGGTTAAAGGCTGCAGTTCACCTTTTAATGACTGGAGGGTGATGTGCTGTAAGAGAGGACACTCACCTGGGGCTCAATCATCCAGATGTGAGGTCTCGGGCCCTTTCTAGGCTTATAGGTGTAAGCAGAGTATACGGGAATACGCAGGTCTCTGTTGTACAGGGTGGCAAAGTGATACTCATTGTTGTAGAGCTGGCAGATCCAGGCTGGGTTGTTCGGCTTCAGAACATCATTTGGGGGTGTTTCCCGGAAGAAAAAACGAAGGCAACTTTGAAAGGATGTCACCACCTCGCTGCGTCCCAGCCAGAGGCAGCTCGCCAAGACCTGCAGAAGCAGCAGCAACAGCATCGTGGGGAGGATTCCAAGTGAAGGGCTCTTTCTCACCTGGAGGGAAAATGCAGAGAGACACTCAGCTTGGAGGAAGCCCATCATGGCCTGGAGTCGTTTTTGTGCTTGTGGGACAAGATTGGCTGAGGAGGGGACAATGAGAGATCAAGGAAGGGACAACTTCAGTCCTCCTGGATGTGGATAAATCAATAGGAAATAAAGGTGAAATGTAACATAGGTCTGAATGCCTAGAGAAGCAATGGGAGAAGTCAACCCCTCTGAGGAGTGATCCAAACCACATCTAATCAGCTCACACAGCAAAGTTTTCTTGCAACTGAGGCATCCTGTTGGAAAAGGGCCACCATCTCCAGCTTCCCTGGAAGTGAATGCAAGCACCAAAAGCATTGGTTTTGGTTTGGGTTTTTTGTTGTTTTTTTTTTTTGCCTTGGCACTGGAGAAAAAAACCTGAAGGCACACAGGGACTGGAACCCCCTATTTCAGTGTATCATCTTGCCCCTTTCTGCTCTGAGGACCTTTCCACAGCAGAGATTTGGAAACTAACATGCATATTTGCCCTTTTCTTATTCGTTTCCCTGACCCTCATTTGTTAATTCCCATTGGATTCAGGATATTGAGCTAGACATGCCCTTGCTCAGACCCAAGACACCTGGTCCTTTAGGTCTTTAGTAATGCTGGAGCTGGAATATGGAGACCTGTAAGCTGAAAACTGAGAAGGGTGAATCACAAGAAGCAACTTATTCCAGTACTCTCCAGAGCGTGAGACAATCTGCCCCAGCTCAGGCAGAAAAGTTACTGAAAGGTTCTTCTTTTGTACCACCCCCTCCACAAGCTGAAAATGTAGCTAACTTAATATCAGATATATAGAAACCAACCTACCGTGTGAAAGAGCAGCACACAAGTAGAATTTCTATGCACAGGACTCTGCTGGCAGCCCCAAAGTGGTAGAGGAGTTTCAAACACCTCTGCTACAGCCTGAAGCTGGCTGTGACCCTGGAAGGTTTATATGTGATCTCCAGGAAGGCAGAATTGTGTAATTCTGCTTTGTTACATTTCTCAAATGGGGTTTAGGGGAAGTTTGTGCAGGGGTGGAACCAGGACCAGTGGTTTTCCAGAGGCCTTTTGCAAGGTATTTCCTTGTGCATTTGTTCCCAAGGCTTCCCATACTTATTGTTTCCCCAAAGGATCCTTGGAGAGGTCCAACATTTACCGGGGCAGCAGGTGAGCGGCAGAAATACTGCCACCACTTCAGATCATCCCACCAGGCTTTGTGACTTCTCCAGATGGGTGACACATTGCCAGAGCTGCCGAGGGCTCCAGATCTAATGGGATCTGGGAGATCAGCTTCTGGGACTGCCAGTTCGAAGTGGGGTAGTTTATTCCCTTTTGGGAATACTATTTCTATTGTGAAGTTTTCATCTTAGCACCACCAAAAGTGACTTTTTTTTCAATGGGATCTGGGAGATCAGCTTCTGGGACTGCCAGTTCGAAGTGGGGTAGTTTATTCCCTTTTGGGAATACTATTTCTATTGTGAAGTTTTCATCTTAGCACCACCAAAAGTGACTTTTTTTTCCCTGAGCACACCTGATTTTATTTTTTCAAAGAGCAGATAATAGCTGGTGTAGTGACAATTTCCCAGCTTCTTCCATTCTCTTCTGCCTCTAATTTTCTCTCTAATACTCTGCAGATCTTTAATTGTCTATGCTTTCCCATGCTCTCCCAAGGCATACCTTCTGTCTTTACCCTTCCTAGTATAAAAAGTAAAGAGCTGCAAAATACGGTCAATGCGTAAACTGTGATTTTCTCCTTGAAGAGGGGATGTTAGAGCTCAGGAAGGGCAGCCAGAGACAGAGACTCCACCACCTCTCTGGACAGCCTGTTCCAAGGCTCCAGCACCCTCTCAGTAAAGAAGTTCCTCCTCAGGTTTAGATGGAACTTCCTAGGGTCAAGTTTGTGCCTGTTACCTCTTGTCCTGTCACTGGGCACCACTGAAAAAAGACTGGGCCCATCCCTCTGACACCCACCCTTTAATTATTTATAAGCACTGGTAAGTTCCCCCCTCAGTCTTCTCTTCTCCAGACTGAAAAAGATCAAAGTCCCTTAGACTTTTTTCATCAGATCCCAGAACAGGACACAGTACTCCAGATGTGTCCTCACCAGGGCAGAGTAGAGGGGGAGGATGACCTCCCTCAATGTGCTGACCACACTTGATGCACTCCAGGATGCCATTGGCCTTCTTGGTCACTGAGGCACATTGCTGGCTCATAGTCATCATGCTGTCCACCAGGGCTCCCAGGTCTTCTTCCACAGAGCTGCTCTCCAGCTGGTCAGGTGCTGACCACACTTGATGCACTCCAGGATGCCATTGGCCTTCTTGGTCACTGAGGCACATTGCTGGCTCATAGTCATCATGCTGTCCACCAGGGCTCCCAGGTCTTCTTCCACAGAGCTGCTCTCCAGCTGGTCAGCCCCCAGCCTGTACTGGTGTGGGGGGGTTATTCCACCCCAGGTGCAGCATCCTACACTTGCCCTTGTTGAATTTCATCATGTTCCTCATCCCCCAAGTCTCTAGCCTGTCCAGGTCTCGTTTAATGGCAGCTCAACCTTCTGGTGTGTCAGCCACCCCTCCCAGTTTTGTGTCATCAGCAAACTTGCCAAGGGGACACTCTGTCCCTTCATCCAGGTCATTGATGAATATATTGAAGAGGACTGGACCCGGTACTGACCCCAAGGGAACTCTGCTAGTTACAGGCCTCCAACTTGACTCTGTACCATGGATCACGACCCTTTGAGCTCTGCCACTCAGCCAGTTCTCAATCCACCTCACTGTCCTCTAATCTAACCCATACTTCCTGAGATTACCTATGAGGATGTCATGGGAAACTGTGCCAAAAGCATTGTTAAAGTCAAGGTAGGCAACATCCCCTGCTCTCCTCTCATCCATCTAGCCAGTCATCCTATCATAGAAGGCTATCAGATTGTTCAAGTTGGATTTCCCTTTGATGAATCCATGATGACCAGTCCTGATGACCTCTTTTTCTTCTACATGCTTAGAGATGACATCCAGGGTGAGCTGTTCCACCACCTTTCCAGGGATGGAGGTGAGGCTGATTGGCCTGTAATTTCCTGGGTTCTCCTTCTTGCCCTTTTTGAAGACTGACATGATACTAGCTTTCCTCCAGTCCTCAGGCACTTCCCCTGTTCTCCATGGCTTTTCAAGAAGATGGAGAGCTGAAGGCCAGAGCTCAGCTAGCCTCAGCAAAATCTCAAGTGTTGCACAGCTGATAAGAGAGGACATGCTGGAACTCGTTGGCTACAAGCCTTGGGAGGAACAAGATAAAAATATTGTCTAGAAGGAACAGAGAGTGCTTGCTCTGTTAAGAAATACAGGCAGTAAATTGTGTTGAAAAAAGGATGTGCTAAAGACCTTGTAGTTTGGGCAAGGAAGGCATGTTAGTATTAACCAATGGTTAAATGCCTAGTGTTTAAAATTAGCCAATCTGTAGAAGACACGCTGGTTTTGCTATGAATATAAGGAACCTAAGAAATTTTAAAATTAGCCAGTCTGTAGAAGACACGCTGTTTTTGCTATGAATATAAGGAACCTAAGAAATCCTAATCGACATCTTGCTTGCATCAAGCTGTATCCTGTCTCTTAATCGCGGCAGAGAGCAGCTTAGGAATAACATCTGCCAGTTCTCTCAATACTCATGGGAGATCTTAAACTTGAAGGAAGTGGTGCTTAAATATTAGCCATCTCTCTTGTACCCCCCTGCCTTCTAAAGTTTTAGCACATGGGATTACTTGAAACAGGTAACTTCTGAAGAGGCCAAAGTCAGCTCTCCTGAAGTTCAGGGTTGTAATTCTACTTTTTGCCCTGCTTCTTCCATGCAGGATCCTGAGCCTCACCATCTCATGGTCATGCTGTGAGATAAATGTCCCCCCTTCCTAGCCTGAAGGCTATCAGAGTCACAGCAATGTACATCTACATACAAGCAGAAGGCAATCGGGCG